ATCAGTACATGTTATAAATTTCAACTGGAAACTACTCATGACCCCCACGGCCCCACTTATTTATTTATTGATTCAAAGTGTAAACGAAATGAAGGTTAGATGATTGTAACCAATATATAGCTCTATCTCACTGCTTAGCTGGACCCTCCAGAATTTTCAGTTTCAACACAGAACCCATTCATCCCTTTTTCTTCATTTAGTTCTCAATATGGTTCAATTTTTCTGTATTTATTTCAGTGTTGCTTTTTAAGAACAGGAGACTTAGTTAATTTTTAGATTTCCATACGAAAAGTTTAGTTTTTCATTTTATTTAAAATAAAGCAATACTATTATGTATTAGAAAAATGAGAAAAGATAATGAAAAATTAAAGTGGGGTTAGAATTTTGAGGGGCTTAAAAGTTTCTTTAAAAAAGGGAGAGGGGTGGTCCATGCCCACATTTACATGTCCCAGTAGGGATGATTCAAGAGGAGTCTTCTCTTCAATAAAGGTCAAAGTTACACTATATAATAGTTCTTTGAATAAAGGTCAAGGTTACACTATATAATAGTTCTTTGTTGACAATATCAAAAACTTTTTAAACTTTATAAACATAAACAACTAATTATTTATTGTTTGTAAAGATTTGCTTGAGAAATCATTGTTTATGTATCTTTTCTTTCATCCTCATTAAATTACTTGACTAAGTCAAATTTTATAAAAGGAGTTGACTTCTTTTTTCTATAAATATGCATGATTCATGTTAAATGAGTCTAAAAGGAATTTAAACCCACAAAATATTCACATTGTTATTGTCTTTCCATTACTATATAGAAATCACTATGGTTACTATATATGTCTTATTGTCTTTCATACTATGTATGTAAATCCACTATGGGTTACTATGTATGTCTTATGTCTTTTCATTACTATGTATGTAAATCAATAGGTTATTAATCTTGTACAATTCCTTATTGTTTTATTTTTTTAAACTTTTATTAGGTATGCAATATGGATAATTTCTAAAAGAAAATTAGCAAAGATCAATCATCCTCATCAGTCCAAAGAAGTAAGCAATGATAAAGAAAATGATCCATTAAAAGAAAGTCATGTAAAACTTGAGGCTATCTTGAAAGATCTTCATCGATCCAGCTCTACAACCTAAAATCAATATTATCATCCTAATTATAGGGATGCAATTCGAAGATTTATACTTGCAAAGAGTTGTTGCCAGCCTTGAAATCATGCATTTCCATAACAAAATTGGAAAAGGATATCGTCGATTTAATCCTACTTGGTTTGATGTGTATGGCGATTGGCTTGAGTATAGTGTGATCAAAGATGCTGCATTCTGTTTGTATTGTTATTTTTTAGACCTTTCATTATAAGCCAAGCCGGTATGACGCTTTCGTTAGTGAGGGATTTTGTAATTGAAAAAAACCAGAACGCTTCAAATTCATGTTGGCCAGCCAAATAGTGCTCATAACCAAGCACGACGAGTTGTGTGAATTTAATGAATCAAAAGCAACATATCGAAGTGGCTCTACGAAGCAATCAGATCAAGTAGGACTAAATACCAACTCGCTTGACTGCATCCATTGTTTGCATTAGATTTCTTTTGCATCAAGGGTTGGCATTTCGTAGTCATGATGAAACTTAAGACTCAAGACCAAGGTAATTTCTCGGACTTCTTCATTTTCTAGCTCAGCATAATGAACATTTTAGAGTGTTGTTTGAAGAATGCACCTGAATCTTAAATTGATAGCACCAGTGTTCAGAAAGATATTGTGAATGTTGCAGCAAATGAAATCACAAAAGCTATCATTGTGATCTTGGAGATGAATATTTTCAGTTTTGATTGATGAGTCTCGAGATGTGTCAATTAAGAACAATGGCTATTCATATAGTTATGTAGATAAAAGGGTCATGTACTTGAGGGATTTTTTGGCATGTACATGTTAGTGACACAACTGCAGTATCACTTAAGATGGCTCTTGAGTCATTATTCTGTCAACATGGATTGAGTTGTTCAAGATTACTGGACAAGGTTATGATGGGGCAAGTAATATGCAAGAGAATTTAATGGTCTGAAAAGTTTGATTTTGAGGGAGAATGAATATGCTTATTATGTTCATATTTTGCTCACCACCTTCAGTTGACACTGGTAGCCTTGCAAAAATCACATTTCTATTGCTTCATTTTTTAGCTTGGTTACTAATCTGTAAATGTTGTGGAGGTTCATGCAAGCGTGAGACATGCTTCGGGAGAGCCAAATTAATAAACTTGTTCAAGCACCAGAAATGTTGTGAAGTTAGCAAGGGACGAGGTTTGAATCAAGAGCAAGTCTAAAACGAGCTGGTGATACACGTTGGGGCTTGTATATTATACATTGATCAACTTATCCTTGTTATCTTCTGGCCATGTGCTGAGGTTATTGAAGAAGATGGTTAAATCCTGAACAAAGGGTGAGACACCGTAATCTATTAGATTTAATCTATTCCTTTGATTTTGCATTTAACCTACAAATGATGAAATGGTATTGGCGATTACTAAGAGTTGTCACCAGCATTGCAGAAAAGATCAGACATTGTAAATGATGTGGCTCTAGTCAAAGTTTCCAAACAACGGTTACAATTGTGAGGATGAAGATGTGAATCTTTGTTGAGTGAAGTTTCTTCATTTGCCAAAAGCATGATTTGCCATTTTGAATATGGATGATATGTTTGCCATTCGAGGGTGGCCACGACGGAGTGTGAGCACATGAAATTTGCATCACTATCGTTGAATTGTTTTTTATTGTGAGAATATGCAACTTCAAGAACTTAACACTCGTTTCACTGAGGTTAGTACTGAGTGCTTCTTTGTATGCATGTTTTAGATCCAAGTAATTCATTCTCTGCTTTTGACAAACATAAGTTGATTCGTTTGTGCAGTTTCATCCATCTGATTTTGCATTTGAGTTGATGATACTTGAGAACCAGACTGAGACTTATGTTATTGACATGCATTCTGTGAGGAATTTGCTAAGTTACAAGGAATTGTGATTTGGCTAAGAATTTAGTTGGTTTAAAAAAGACATTTTGTATCCATTGTGTATAAGCTTGTGAAACTTGCATTGGTTTTACCAGTTGCGACTGCGACCATTGAAGGGCTTTTTCTGTAATGAATATTGTGAAAGTCGGTTACACAATCGAATGGGAGATCAATGGATGAATGATTGTTTGGTCACCTATATTGGAGAAAGTGTATTTGATACAATTGACGATGAGTGATTATCCAATGTTTTAGAATATGAAAACTCGTCAGGACAATTGTAAAAAAATTGTTTTTTTGAATATGGATTGTTATTTTGTACTTTTTGTTGAAGTTCCACTAATGAAAAAAAAAATATAGTTTGATTGGTTTAAATTTTTTTTGTTTATTTTTTGCCCCATCGAGTGAAATTTCTGGATCCACCACTGGGATGGCTCGTGTATCCCCAACACATTCATAGCCTGGCTTGCTATTAAGAGGAAACTCCTCATCCAGACTATGCAACTCTGGCACACTAATGAAGTTTTGAGCTGCTCTTTTTGCAATGGTCCTTGTGATTCGCATGACATCTTCTTTAATTGCCCTTACAAAACTATTTAGGAGGCTGTCCAATCTAAAGGTAATTTCGAGCTCCTTTCTGGTGGATAATATTGTTTATGGTGTGCAACCTTTTCCGTGCAAAGCATACGCTACTATTAACAATTACTATTTGGGCTTCTATCTACATTATTTGGCAAGAAATGAACATCAAGCCGTGAAGCTATTGAAAGCTTATTGTGGAGAAGTTAGATTGCAGTTATTGTCTCTCAAATTCAAAAGAAATCCCAGAGTTCCTTCTACCTTGCAAAGATGGGATATTCCAGTTGCGTGAAGTGGATCCTCTTATAGTTGCTCTTTGATGCATACTATATAGACTTTTTTGTATAGTGGCCTCCTACTCACTTTGTCTTTAGGGGCTTGTTTTTGATGTGGCCCCTGCCTCGTTTTCATCTCTTGGGCATGTCCAAGATGATTCTAACGTGAGATTTTCCTATTTCTTTGTATTCTTTTTATTTTTTAATGAAATTACTGGATTACCCAAAAAAAGATAAACTAATTGAACATTTTGAAGTAAATCTTCTAAATATAAAAATTTAACAGCAAACACTCAGGCTTGTTTGATACATTATTTGAAATATGATATTCTGAAAAATTATTCTGAATAGTATAGGATAGAGTTCTAAGAATGTATTTGGTACATTTTTTAAAATATTTAAACCATTGTTAACCCCCTACATTTGTTAATTTAGCTAAACATCTCTCCTCCTAACAATAAAAGTTTATAAATTAACAAAAACATCTTTACTCACCCAATCGACTGTCAACAGTCGACCATCACCGTCGAACGGTGGCCAACAATCATCGAAATGGCGCACAACCGATTGGATTTGGCCACTAGTGGACCAATCTAACATTTTTCAACTAGATCCACTGTTTCCAACTAGATCTACAACCAAATTTCTAACTGTTGTTAACAACCAAAATATGGTCGTCGTCAATAGCCAGATCTAGTTGTTTTCGACCAGATCTGGTTGTTTTCAACCAGATCAACACATGATCAACCAAATCTAACTGATCATGCGTCGTTCCGACATTGGCAATGACCGACGATGACAACGACTGGCAACCAACAATGGTTGCTAACAACCGACAGTGGCTTGGGTGGGTGAGGATGTTTTTGTTAATTTATAAGCTTTTATTGTGAAAGGTAATTGTATGTTTTAAGTTAAATAGAATATGATTGAATTTTTAACTAATGGTGTTTTTACTGTTTACATTAAATAGGATAGTAGAATAGTGTTTTAAAAAGTGTACCAAACAGGGGGTTAAATCTTGAAATCAACTATCCACAACTGATACCTTGATATTCTGGTTTTCCTTTTGGCTTTCATAAATCTAGTACCTATAATTTTATTTGTTTTTGTGTTTTTGTTTAATTGACATATTAAATTATAAACTGAAGAACATTACTCAACTAAAGAGTATACCACAAAAGTTATAACATAATCCTAAAATTGATCCACAAAAATATGAAATACACCTTCAGTTTTGGAAATAAGTATGGGGTGGGGAGAAAACCCACATGGTGTTTACTTCAGTAGAAGATCAGCTCATTCTAAGGACGGACACTCCATCATTTCTCATATTGCCATAAGATCACCATAATTGCGCATCAGAAAAATCGATCCAGCAAACAACCCAGCAGCACGCAGCAGTTTCTACAAGAAAAAGGGAAACCATGAAATCACACTTACCAGGAGACAAATTAGACATCTAATCGAAACTAATAAGACTCCACTGCATCTGAAGAGAACTAACGCTTAAAAAGAGTTCATTGTTTTCAATAATAAAATAACATTTAGGATTTAGCAATAGAATTTGAACATCAAGTTGAATGTAACTAATGTTTATCACAGCAGGCTCTGTAAAATATAAATCACAAGGTAAAGGAAAAAGAACAAGCACATCAGCCGGAGCTTATTTCAATATGCACTCTAGATCCCAAATCTCATTCCTTTTTTACCATAAATTTTCTAGGTCTGACATGTAATCTGGAGCCGGTTCTAAACTTACTCAGATCAGAAACAAATGTTTCTATTAACTTTTCAACAGTTTTTCAACAAGCCCTTAATCTAAATATGAAATAATCATGAGGCAAACTATGAAATGCAGAAACCTGAATGCATTAAGGAATGACTGAATCCATTGATTCCAATCTATGAAACTAATTCAGGATTCGACTTTTGCAGGTAAAAAATTTAACATTGTTATGTGCTAAAATGGCGTTCACTTTAAATCAGTATATGAATGGAAGAAGCACCCTACCACCAGCCACACATATCCATCATTCATGAACCATCGAACATCTAAAATAGGGGATTAACGCTAACGCTATATGAAAGCTAACATTTAGACAATTCAAAATTTTGTCCTAAGACAATGTCATTAAGAAAAGTAGTAGTTAAAACATGTGCAATTCATCGGGTGAAATGAGAACAGAATTTCCAAAGATGGGTTAGTGTTTGGTTCTTTCAGAACAAAACAATTGCAGGGCAAAAATTTTATTAGATGGGTTTGAAACCTGACATCCTGCTTTTCTTTACTAAAATTCCCACGAAAATGGAAGACATATTCTTCTTCTGAAGGCTTACTTTTACTTGTCAGATACATTACCCAATAAAGCTTGGAGAGAAGATAAAAGATGAACTCTAACAACAATTCCTGCTGTCTAAACTATTATCCTCCATTCATCAAAACAAACATAAAGAGAAACAAACCCTTGATCTTGTTTCTTGTACGAAATTTCAAGTCACTCCACAAGCATGAAAAAGAACTAGTAGAGATAAAATAATCAATTTTGATTATTCGGTGAAATTCTCTTATATATACATAATGATAAGAATCCAAATTCATGCACTGAAACAAATTAACCAATCACTAAAATATCGATTCCACGTCCAAGAAACAATGCCCAGAAGAGCGCATTCAAAACCTAACCCTCAAATTAAAATAAAGTAGCAACAGTTTCTCAGTTTTACTAGGACCCAAGTACAGAGAAATTGAAATTTATTTCTTATCATATCCTAACACTTCTAAATAAGGAGTTAAGATATTGATGAATTGAAAAAAAGAAAAAAACTTTAAAGCAACGAAATATTGAAGAAGTTAGACGAGAGAGAGAGAGAGAGAGAGAGAGAGAGAGAAAGCAAACCACGTTGAGGGCCCATTTCTCCTCGTCGTGAATCTGAGAATGCCAGATGGTTTTCAGCTTATCAAGAGAAATCACGGAGTCCGCCATTGACGCTCTGTTAGAGAGAGAGTGTCTGTTCGATTTCGATGCTAGGGTTTTGGGTTTAGAGGGAAGCTAAAAGAGACTCTGGATGAGAGACCTATATTGCCATTGGGCTTTACGACGCAATTACCAAAATGACCTTAGAAAATAGAAAATGTAAAGATATAACGTATATAACCTTCATATATCGGTCAATAACGGTCAACATATACATATATTTATTTTTAGAGCTTATTACATTTTTCCCCTAAGGTACCGTAAAATCAAAATTCACCCCTCAAGTATCTGAAATGACATTTTACTTCTTATAGTCACTACTCCGTTAATGTTTTCATAATCTAATTAATACATTTTCCATGTTAATCAGTTAAATTAAACACTAATCCTAACAAAATATTAACAATAGGGGATAAATTGTTATTTATGATATCTAAAAGGGCAAATAATAAAATTCCTCCAAAAGTTTTGAAATAAACATTAAATTTTAGGTGTTAAAAAAATAAATAAAAATATTCATAAATATAAAATTAACTCATAATAATAAAATTTTTAATGGGTCAATAACAGTGACAGATTTTTTTTTTTTTTTGAAAAACATTAGGATAATGTTTGTTATTAGATAAAGTCCAGGGGTAGTTTTATTTTTATTTGTTATTTTCTTAAATATAGTAATTTGTTTGCATAAATTGGTAGATTTTTCTTAAATAAGATGGATTCTCATTAACCAATCAAAATAAACATGCAAAAAAGGTACCACACGTATTCTGACACGTGGATGTCCCAGTCATTTATCATCCACTTCTGTGCTGTCCATCACACATTCAGAATTTCCACAGAGAGAGAGAGAGAGAGAGATTCAATTGAATTGAAGAGAGTATGGAGGCCACAGCAATTTGTGGGAGCAGAAGCGGAGGACTACCATCGCCATGCATCCATTCTTCTTCTCCAAGAACGCCAAATCCATCTGCCCTTGTCATTAAATCCATGGCCACCCAGAAACCTCTTCCATCTGCCACCAAAACCGTCAGCTCCAGAAAGGTCAGTTTCTTACCCTCTTTTTTTCTACCATCGTGACCTGTAGTACATAATATGAGAGCATTACTCTTGTTTGGGTTGGCCTAGAAGGAAGAATTTTTCTTTTTCACTTATACTATTCTGCTTTTAGTATGTTGTTACTGATGCTCATAATCAACTGTAAGAACAAAAACCTAGCAGAAAGTGGTATCTGCTCATTTGAGAATTTCAGTGCAATTTTCTCATTTGCCTCATGGTGAAAAATGCAGAACACAGTTGTGTTTCCTCTGGGAGAGCCAGGCCCCAGGAACCGGCCACTGGCGACTAGTCCTCCGGTCAAGCTACTAACAAGAGTGGAGCAACTCAAACTACTGTCAAAAGCTGAGAAAGCCGGCCTGTTATCAGCGGCTGAGAAGTTTGGTTTCTCTCTATCAGCCATTGAGAAACTGGGTCTCCTCTCTAAAGCAGAAGAGTTTGGAGTGCTTTCTGCAGCTACGGATCCTGGAACACCAGGGGCTCTGTTCAGCCTCAGCTTGGGGCTACTGCTTTTAGGCCCCTCTTGTGTTTATCTTGTGCCTGAAGATTATCCATGGCAGGTTGCCTTGCAAGTTGTTGTTGCTCTAGTTTCTGTAGCTGGTGGTTCTGCAGCTTTTGCTGCCGCAAATTTGGTATCCAATTTGCAGAAATAGAACTGAATTTGGTCTTAATGAGTTTTATAATTGATATTGTTACGCTTTTTAGTTTTTATCCTCCTGTGTAATTGTCATCTATGGACATTGTTCATTTGTAGGCTGTAGCATCGAGCCAAATAAGAGGCAAATATCAAAACTTCAAACTAAAACATCAACAAAATCAGTATTCATTGAATTTCGCTACTGCTATGAATTTCAGTGTAAATGTGGGCACAAATAAAGGTTGAGAGATGAAAATACAGATGATTTCATGAAAAAAATACATGATTGCACCAAAATACCCTTCCATGTTATGTAAGCTTTTTTATGAAGTTCCTCAAGATAAAATAGAAACCGCAAGAATCCTCTCATAAGCAGGCAGTTGCAACTATAAAAATCAGACAAGAATTTCTAGAATCTTCAAACCCCTCATTTTGTACTGTCAAAAAAGATCTTCTGGACTGTTTCAAGCTGGAACAGAACTGCGATTACCCCCTCCTTGATGGCCACCCCTTCTATTTCCATTCTGATTCACCCGTCCCTCTCCGCTACGTCCACCACTTGAACCCTTTGGTCGCGCTGAAAATTCACCCTGACTTCTAAATTCATTCCTACCCTCACCTTGGTTTCTGAATTCATTCCTGCCATAACCACGACCTCCACCAAAGTTCCCACGACCCTTGAAACTATCATTGCGGAACATAACTCTTCCGGAAGAAAACCTACCTCTTCCACCGCCGCCACCACTAACTGCAAATAACCAGTGATATCATTAAATCTTTCACATAATTATACATATTATTATAGTTAAGTTGGCTTATGAGTAGTCAAAACTAATAAAAAGATGACTACACTGTCAACTAACCTCGAGAGTTTGCTCTCTTTGCCTCAACATCTGCTTGACGATCCCCAATTGGTATAGGAGAAGCCTGTAATTTTTAATTTTTTAAGTACATCGCATCAAATAAGCTCAGAATCAAACAATAGCAGGCAAGATAAAGTAAAGTTGGCTATTGAACCATCAGTACTTCAATCAACAATACATCCAAAAGTTAGATCCCAAAACCTACTTAACCCAATTTCCCCACTCCTATCACCCGAGATAACATTATACTAAAAATCAAGAAAGACACTTTGATATAATGTGTAGCACTTCCTGGTAACTCTTATGAAGCACAAATTTATATGATGCATTTGCCAAAAATTTATGTGGTAGCATGACAAGTACAAAGACATCATTTACTGGTATCTTTAAAACATACAAATGTTCCAAAATTATATTGTATATGAAAAATGGGAAATCATGTAGCAAACACAATCACAGAGCAAAATAAGCCTTCTATGACAATAAAGGAACAAAGATCATAACCAACAGAGCGCATTGACCAAGTGAGTTAAGATTTTATAGTTTAACAGGAGAGACATGCAATGTTTAAAGAATGGATATCCTTTATGCCACAGCTTCATCTCTTGAGCAACATCCTTATGCCTTAGTTAGCCTCAGACAGTAACACCCTATGCACTGCCAATTTAGTCAGGCCTTCTAAGAAGGACCTAACATAAGCAAATAGTCAAAGGCCAAGCGAACAATATATTTATTTCCAATCTGGTTGAATCTGCCGTTGCGATCATAGAAGCCAGCAGATTGAATGCATTCACTAGAGATCACGAATACGATGAAGACAAAGGGTCTTTGTTTCTTATCTTATGAATGCAATCCAAGTAACTGAAAATTTGTCAAAATAAACTAAATTAACTGAATTATCTTTTATCCCAGATTAACCTTACGTCTTAAAGAATTCATTTATTGAAGTTCTGAAACCACTTAACAATACATAAACTTTTAAACTCTCAAATTACAAGGCAACTGAATAGGTGCTATTCATCTAATGTAATTCATTAAGTTCCCAGAATACATTCATTAAAAAAGAATATCTTGACAAGTTATATAGTATTCTGTGCACCTTCAACTGTCAACCGACTAAGTTCATTATTATGAAGTTGTAAAAACCACTTCCGAAAAGATAAAACTAAAATCCAAAACGACAACATAAATTATTGGTATCCGCAATTATCCATTACAACTCAGTACATCCCCATAATATAGCTATAAAGGAAACTGACCTGAACTAGAACAAGCTATATTAAAATTTCCACAACCAAAAACTTATCACCTCCATAAATAACTGCATGCTATAAGTTCTATGCAGCCAAGAAATGTCAAATCTGAGTTTATAAACTTCTTATATATCACCTGGTATGATACAGAACAAAGAAGTAAAGAACTACCAGAAATTGATGGATCCATTACAAAACGACTAGGCCAGCAGTAAGGCGGACATTATTTTGGACACACTAATTTTGAGAAATTCATGTAAAGTGATGAAGGAAGTGCCAAGAAAGTCGTCAAAACAAATCTAGTGAATGTCTTGCTTGACAATATTTTTAAACATCCCTCCTCAGAATTAGAGTAATAGAAACCTACTAATAGCTGATGTCATGCTCTCCTATGTTTCTATTGCCCTCAAAAATGGGGCAAAGACAAAGAAAATCTGTGAAATAAATTTATCCTCAAGAGCACTAAGCCATAATTAGAAATACATTTTTTTTCTTCAAAGTGTAATTAGGAAATGGATTAGCAAAAGGAACTCCCATTGCCCATAAATTGCCAAGAATACTTCACAAGATATAAATTGAGCTCATTTATTTTGTACACTATGATATAGACATACAACTAAAATTAGAACTTTAATTAAAATACTGATTTGAAGCAAATAATATAGAACACAATTTACAGCGGGATAGTGAGCAAAAAGTGTACCTCAAGTGCACTCTGCACCGAACTTGGCATCTCAAATGCAACAAAGCAAAACAATATCCTTGCTGCAGAGCACAAATATAGGACCTTTAAAAACTGCACAAAAAGGTCATGTGTGTGTACAGTAAGATATAATCCAAAACGAACCTTATTACTTCTGACTTGGATGCCATTTTTCTTATATGGCCAAATTTCTTAAACGCCTCCTCAAGCTGTGCAGTTGTTGCACTAAAAGATAATTCCGTACATATATGGAGTAACCTTCAGCTGTAATGAGCAGAATAAATAGATCATCATTTTTTAAGCAAAACATACAAATACATAAACATTAATATGTCTTCAAAATGTAACCCAGACATAGAAAAAGATATCCTACCACATTGAACTCTATCTCACCATAAATTAGCACCTTGTGTCTCAATAGATAGTAAACATATCTTGTTCACAATGATTCACATGCATGTCTCATACCAAGCAAGAATTCTGAAAGTCCAGACAGTACTCTTTCAAGTCAAAGTAACATGTGCATACCTTCCTCTTCACGCTGCTACTTTCAGGAGCATTGTCAATACTGGAGCTGAAGTTTCTGGTGGCAGGAGCGGTTTTGCTGAAACAACTGACTGCTGATCAGTATTTGCTGGTGGTGGCTTCACTTTATTGGTAGGGACATATGCTCGACTAGGTGTTGGATTACCTTTCGCTACTTTCAACTATATGAAACTCAGTCATATATAATTGTCAAGGGTAACAAAAGAAATCCCAAAAGTTGCAAAAGATAAAACTAAAAACATCAAGAGATCAACTCACAATTGAAGCATATGATTTCTTCTGAGGAAGATCCTCCTCAGTCACAGTTGCTGAATCATCAACTGTATGAATCTCACTCTGAACAGAACAACTGGTGGTTCAACAACTTCTTCTTCGATCACTGACCCTTCCTCCTTATCAGATGGATCATAGACTTCAGGACCATTATCAAGATCTTCACCTTCAATGGCAATTGCCCGTTCCACTGGAACATGATCGTGATTATGAGCAGGCTCTGGAAAAAAAAAAAAAAAAAAAAAACACAGTTCTATAATTCTAGTCTGAAGTTAATTTTAGCATGATCTTTCATGAATAGAACTATGCCAACCTGGTGCCTGAGTCACATTGGCTGTTACAGCATTTTTCATTGCTATTATTTGAGTCAGAATTGATTTGCAATGATTCACTCTCCTCAACAAATCTAAAAACATCATTCAAGACAAAGTACCTTTGTCTTGTGGAGCTAGAAAGAAAGTTTGAGTGAATTTCTTTCTCACATTGTCCTTTCCAGTTAACATCCAGTCACTAGAACAATCACCCCTTT